TTTTATTTGCGTGTAGTAGCGATGAAACTGCAGGTATGCCCAGACTTCTTCTCTTTCTAAAGAACATCGAGACACCGCGGATACACGGGCATCAGAGGGTATAATAGGTGTTCCACGGGAAGATTAACATAATGAAACGATCGTAAACGTCTTCATCGTCTGTTATTTACGCAATTCGCGGGGATTTCGCGCGCTCGAGCCAAGGTATTTCGCGCCTCGGAACGTTCGTACGTCTCCGCGGTTAGTTTTATCTAACGCCGGCTCGGCGCGAACATAAACGATCCGATGCCGTGTTCCACGTTGCCCGGTTTCAGATTTATCGTCTTATTTACAACTCGCTCCGCGAGATTCGTGGTATTTACTAACAATATCCACGGGTACGACTCGTTTAAACCGTACTGATTCCTGCTCGTGCTTACGTCTGAACATCGTGGAAAATTTGTTACCGGTGGTGTATATTGCTCGTGAAAGGGTACGACTCCGATTGTTTTAAAACGGCACAGCTAGAAATTCGATTAAATTCCGTTCGGGTATGTATGTACACGTATATACAGAGCGGATTAGAAACGAGAGAGAGAACGCAGGCACACACGATTGTGCGTTTCCTGGCTGCACGATTAGCAAAGTTTATTTTGGTTCGCGAGCGAGTATGATGTCATCGTTTTGATTGCTAGTTCAATAAACGATTGAATCTGACTTGGTCGTCGCCACCGGATGAAGTCGAAGTGTTGCACTTCCATCGCGAGAGTGTGATATCTTTGCACCTCGAGCAAATATACATTCGCACCCTTTTTCGATACTATAAATAACGACGGATCGTGAAATCCAGCCGGCGGATTAAACGATAAATCAACTAGCTGTTGATTTACGCCCGTTTACGAGTAACAAGTGGAAAACGTGTGTATGGTTAAAGAGAAGCAGTGTACCGGTAGTAGGATGTCAGAAACACGGAAATGCCCGCGCGGTAGTAGAATGAGAAGAAAATCGTGCACACACGCGGCTTGGCTGTTTTACAGATACCTTTCTCCGTGACCCCGTGCAGATCCTTCCGCTTCGGCTTTCCTCGCACAGAGACTTTACTTGCACTCTACCTTTCTCTCCGTTATTCTCCTTGACCTCAAAGACGTGCGATCATTCTTCGAAAACTACGAACGGAGCGCGAATGGTCCGTCGACGGGTCGACGTATCCGATATGTATCTCGGCTAACTCTTTCTCTCCCCCTCTCTCTCTCTCTCTCTCTCTCTCTGTCTTTCTCCGGAGAACCGCGTGATTCGAATCGCGTGCACCTCGTTGTCGTTCGACCGGCGAAGCGACGAAATTGAACCGGTGAGATAGAAAACTTTCAAACGGGCATACACGTTTAAAGAAACGATCCGAATGTTCGCGAACCGTGTCTCGTTCAATGGATATATACGCATCGACCGCGAAACAGTACCGAGACTGGATTTTCACGTGTGTTTATCGATCGGCGCACACGCACGCACTCGAAGCAGACCGTTCGCGCGCGAGCTTCGAAAAGCAATGCAAGCGCGAACGCGACACGGGAGTCTCTCGTTCCTTCCTACGTTCTTACGTCGATCTCGCTGCTGATTCCATCCCTCTCTCTCTCTCTCTCTCTTCTGTCCTCGTACCCTCCTCTCTCTCTTCCTTTTTGTTCCTTCCATCTTTCTCTCTCCCGCTCAATCATACCTGTCCTCCATCTCTGTCCTCATTTCTGACTTTTACCTTTCTCTCCCTCCAACCTTACGCTCTCGCTCGCTCTCTCTCTCTCTCGTTCCACCGACTCGACCATCTTTTTTCATACCTATTCCCTCTCCTCGTCCTTATTTCTTTCGTTTATCCCGTTTATCTCTCTCTTGTCTTCACGTTCGTTGGCCTCCCCGTTCGCTCTCCTCGCCTCCTACCTCCCTCTAACCATCGTGATTTCTTCCGCCCCTCTCTCTCCAGCATTTTCATTATCGTTCATCCCGTCTCTGTCCGTGCGATCCACCGCGCGGCTCCCACCACTCGCGCCAATCACCCCACCATTATACCACTCATCCCCCACTTGTTCGTTATACCTTGCTCGCTTTGCGTCTCCTGCCGGCCACCCGCAGTACACTCCTTCTCGCTCCGGTCGCCCAAGTCACTTTCCTCTCTCTCTCTCTGTTACACCGTATGCTCACCGGTGGTTCGTCTCTTCCTCTCCCGTTTCCAGAGTCGCCGCGTCGATCTACATTTTTCTTCGCCGTTTGCCCTCCCACTCCCGCCGAAGGGAGACCGCTCCTCCGCCAGGTTCTCTTCCTCGTTCACCAAAACGTGCTCGCGGGGGTTCCACTCATCACCGTTTGATCCACGATTACTATCATTTAATACGTCCGCCGACCTTCGCGAAACACGAACAACGCAGTAGGTCTGCTAGTACAGGGTGTTTCGACGGGTTGCTGGGAAATTGGCGCAATCGTATCGGAAAGGTCGGACAGACGAAGAGAGTGATAGAAATTGATTTATCTGAGAGTCCTGGCAGATGAGAGAATCTTGATACTTGTTGGTTTCGTTGTTCTGTACTATTAATGAACATTTTTCATTTCTTCGACCGAAGGAGCACGCTATAAATTCAGCCTGAACATTTTGAAACACCCTGTGCACACTTTGTATCTCCGAGGAGAACGTTGAACAGATCGATTCGTACACGCTCGGTAAACAGAAACCGATAAAATATGCTCGAGATGTTTCTCCGCTTTGTACACAGCAATTCGCGTAAATTTCGCCGTCCTGTGTATTGTAACAGAAGCTTATTTTTTTAACCCTTTCGCTGTAGCAGCGTCTGCGTTAGACACCGAAGCTACCAGAGAACTAATTGCCCACGCGTGGTGTTTCACTTCATTCCGTGAGAATAACAAACGTGGCTCGTATCGATAAATAAATCTTCGTATAATGACTGCGAGCGAAAGGGTTAATTTCATGTATGTAAACCTAAGAGACACGCTTGAAATTCAATTCGTACTCATTTACGAGAGAACTAACTTTTTCACGTGTGGTGTTTCCCTTCATTCGGAGAAAATAATAATAACAAATTTTCGTGCAATGACTAAAAGCGAAAGGGTTAATTTCAAGTATGCGCACCTGCGAGATACGCGATTTAAAAACACTTGGAATTCATACACGGGAGAACTAATTTTTAGGATAACAAACGAGACCTGTATCGATAAAAAAAATTTTCATACGATGATAATGAACGAAAGGGTTAATTTCAAATATGCACACCTGGGAGATACACTTGGAATTCGATTGACACTCGAGGAATTACTTGGTTCATTTATGAGGTAACTAATTTTTTCACTTCGTTCAGAGTAATTTCACTGGAAATGACTTTTACTCAATTTAAAGGACAACAAAAGTGACTCGTATCGATAAAAAAATTCCATACGACAACTGTGAACGAAAGGGTTAACTCCAAAGATACGCAGAATTCAAAGAAAACACTGGAGAATTGAACTGGAGACAGATCGAGTACCGTAGAAATGGTTTGGTCGGTCGGATACAAAAGGTTTCGTTTTGCGTACGTGAAACGAGCATTATTTTTAGCGAGTTCAAGTACGCCGTGGCAAAATCGAAGGCGACACCCCTGCGTACCATGTCTGCCCTCGGAGTCCTCGAAAGTCCCCTCGAGCCACGATAAATGATTTATCTCCGTGTCCCTCGCCGTTGATCCCCGTCGTTGGTGTTCGTGCCACGGGGGAACGGACACGCGTACAGCGGTGCTCAGGAAGGCACTTTTGCGACACCCACGTGCCGGCATAAACACGTGCGTACACCATGGTTTGAGCACTGTCTATCGGAGAATCAGCGCTGCCAGTCTATCGTAGCCGGACGCCCGGTACCCCACCAGTCGATTCGTTCAACAATCACTTCCTTTTTCTACGTCAGACCGCTTTGTAAACAGTCTACGGCCGTACCGAAACCGTCCTGAACATTATCCGTAGAACAGTGGAGAATATGAAATTCTAACGGAGAATATCCGTGTAATAGGTGTATACACGCTAAGTCGTGAAAATTCTACGAACGAATATATACGTAAGATACGTAAGATTGAAGAATGAAAGGAAGATTAAGGTTCACTTTAGCCGGTGATCATCCACTTAAGCTTCTCCCCACGGTGGCTTCTCAGTTCTTTCTATTAACGAAGAATTCCTTGGTTATCTATGCTAACGGGATAACCAGAGAGGAAGAAGCGTTCACGTTT